CTATTTCTGAGTACAACAATTCTCATATGTTCATAGATGAGAAAGGAGCTGTTTTCAAATGTCATTTCATTTTCCACTTAGAGATGGTTCCTGTTCTTCTAGTGCTGACAGCTGTCTAAACCAAACAAGAAGCAATCATTGGCCAGGCCATAGGCACTGACTTATTTTCTAGTTCCCCAACTACTGTGTGTTTAAAAAAGAAAATATGGCCAGGTGCCAGTGGCTCATACCTATAATTCTAACTACTCAGGAGGCTTAGATCTGAGGATCATGGTTCAAAGCCAGCCCTGGCAGGAAAGTCTGTGAGATTCTTACTTCAAATTAACCACCAGAAAACCAGAAATGGCACTGTAGCTCCAGTGATAGAGCACTCACCTTGAGCTGAAGAGCTGAGGGACAGCACCTGGGCCCAGAGTTTAAGCCCCATGACTGACAAGAAAAAAAAGAAAAAAAAAAGAAAAAATACTTTTTGTCTGATAGCATACTGGTTTTATGTTAGTACTTATACAGTGTCTTTTTCTCCATTCCTTTACTTTTCCCTTGTTTCCTTCCTTCTTTGCTTTCTTGCTTCTTTGCTTGCTTGCTTGCTTGCTTGCTTCCTTCCCTCCTTTCCCTTCCCTCCTTCCTTCCTCCCCTCCTCCCTCTCTCTCTCTCTGTCTCTGTCTCTCTGTCTGTCTCTGTCTCTCTCTCCCTTTCTCTTTCTTTCTTTTGTGCCCTTCCTAGGGCTTGAAATAAAGGTCTATGTGCTGTCCCTGAGCTTTTGTGTTCAAAGTTATTGCTCTATCACTTGAGCCACAGCTCTACTTTGGGCTTTTTGTGGTTAATTGGAGATAAGAGTCTCACAGACTTTCCTGCCTGTACTGTCTTCAAACCATGATCCTCAGATTTCAGCCTCCTAAGTAGCTAGGATTATAGGTTTGCGTCACTGGCACTTGGCTCATTTCTTTACATATAACAGCACTTTTGAAGTTTAACTTACAGTGTTTTGACAGGTGTATATCTCTACCATAATCATAATGTAATCTTCTCTGTCACCTCCTGAGTGTCTGTCAGGCTGTGAAGACATAATGGATCTTTCCCACTTTCAGTACCCTGACCCATAGATCTGCTCATCACATTATACACTTTTGTGCTTTAGTGAGTGTCAGATAACTATATTTGTTTGTTATGTAATGGTTCTGCATCTGCTTGCTCTCATTTAGCACAATTATTTTAGGATTCATGCAGTAGGTCATTTCTGTAATAGTTGAGGCAGATTCTTTCATATGGCTCTACCATAATTTGTCTATCGGTTCATCAGCGTGTGGACATTTGGGTTGTTTTTGGGTTTCTGCTTTTACAAATAAAGCTTCTGAGTATAAGTCTTTGTATATGTGCTGTCTTATCTCTTGGGTAAAAACCTAGGATTGAGGCTGCAAGTAGGGCTGACGTGTTTCCAGGGTGAGACTCAGTGTAAAGCATGGGTAATCCTGGCGTGCAGGGGCAGCTGGGCACTCTGCTGTGTTGTTCGGTGACAGTATGTTTAACTTTACAGAAACAGATGAATTCTTTTCCAAAGAGGCTGCATCATCTCCAATTCTTATCAGCAGTGCCTGAGGATTCCAGCCTTTTCACATTCCTGTCAACACTGGATTAGTAGGCAGCAACTTTTTTTTTTGTTACTATCCTAGTGACTCATGGATTTTTTTTTTTTTGTATGTATACATGAATGTGTGTATGTATGAAGCACTCTACCACTTGATCCATGCCTGGCCTGGCTTCAAACTGTGATTCTCAGATCTCAGCCTCCTGAGTAGCTAGGATTACAGGCATGAACCACTGGTGCCCAGTACTTTTGAACATTTTGTTTTTGTTTTATCAATCATGGGGCTTGAACTCTGGGCCTGAGTGCTCTCCCGGAACTCTTCAGCTCAAGGCTAGTACTCTACCACTTGAGCCACAGTGCCACTTCCAGTTTTCTGTTGGTTAATTGACCTTCCCTGCCTGGACTGGCTTTGAACCGCAATCCTCAGATCTCAGCGTCCTGAGTAGTTAGTATTACAGGTATGAGCCACCAGCACCCAGCTAAGTTTTTTTTTTTTTTAACTGAGTTTACTCAGTCTGAATAAAAATTATCATATAAAGAATTTGCAAATATTTTATACCAGTTTGTGATTTAACATGCTCTTGACTTTTGAAAAGAGAAAAATGTATGTATATATGTATGTATGTATGTATTGTTGGTTGTAGGGCTTGAACTCGGAGCCTGGGTCCTGTCCCTGAGCTCTTTCAATCAAGGCTTTTATTTCTACCACTTGAGCACATAGTTCAACTTTCAGCTTTTTTGGTGGTTAATTGGAGATAAGAGTCTCATAAAATTTCCTTCCTGGGCTGGCTTTGAACTGATATCCTGAGTTCTCAGCCTTCTGAGTAGCTAGGATTACATGCATGAGCTACTGGTACCCTACCTAATGTATTTTTTTTTTTTTTTTTGGTCGGTCGTGGGGCTTGAACTCTGGGCCTGGGCACTGTCCCTCAGCTCTTCAGCTCAAGGCGAGTGCTCTACCACTTGAGCTACAGCGCCACTTCCGGTTTTCTGGTGGTTTATTGGAGATAGGAGTCTCACAGTCTTTCCTGCCCGGGCTGGCTTTGAACCTCGATCCTCAGATCTCAGCCTCCTGAGTAGCTAGGATTATAGGCGTGAGCCACCAGCGCCTAGCCCTACCTAATGTATTTTTAAATGATTTGTTTATCACAGTTTTATTATAAGCAGACAAAAAGTTAATGTATATGAAATGGCTGGCTATACAACATTAGTAGCTCATACTTTCTACTACCTGTTTTAAATATGGAATGGTCATAAGAATAACAATACCAGCACTCTGCATGCCAAGCACTGCATGTAAAATGATGAACACATATGACAAGGTCTGGTATCCCCAATTTAAAGATGAGGCAACTAAGGCAAAGACAGATAAGTAGCCTCCCCAGGGTTGGACATCTAGAATCATTTGGTTTTCCTCCTTTTTACCTCCTTTATCCTTCTCTCATGTCCAGTACCTTTCCCTTAGCAATACTGACTTGGAAATGTGACCACTTCTTGAAATCCACAGCCTCATACAGTGGTATTTGTTCTTTGGAAATGGTAATTATGTGCATCATATTTTAAATGTTCAGGTGCGAATGTGTCAGGAAGGAAGTGAGACTTGAACGTACTTGCATGCATCTTGAAATAATAAACATAGACTTTGTATTTGCCGAGTTTAGAGGAAAAAGAATAGCATTGCAATAATTAATCACATATAAATGGTGACACCCAGTGTCAACATTCCATTAGGTGTTAAATACCGAGAAGGCTTGAAAGTAAGTAACAGATTTCAAGCTTAGAGGAAGAGGCAAAATAGGCTTAATGTTTTTTTCCTTTTCTTAGAGGAGTCAAAGTTAAGGCTATGAAAAGGGACCAATCTGATGTACTGGTTATTTCAAGGGGGACTCTTTATTGTAATGTGCACCAGTGAACCTTCTGGGAGCCACATGACCTAAGGCGAATTACATCTCTGAGTTACTGTAAGAATTAAATCACTTAGTACTTTGAAAGCACTTGGCCCAGTGTCTCACACATACTAAGTGCTGAATAAAAATTCACTACTTTTAATATAATTTTAATACATAATAAAAAAATGAGCCAGTGAGTGGGAATGCATACTGCGAGACGCGACAGGCGGCTTCATCACCAGTCAGTTCCTGAAAGCAATTTGTTGACATTTACTGAACTATTCAGGGTTTTTGTTTTGTGTTTTTTTTTAAAAAACTATTTCAACTTAAATCAGTTTTTTAACAAAAAGTTTTCTAGTTTCAGGAATTGGTCCTTGCCCTGCCCCTGTCCCTGCCTCTGTCCTTTCCTGCCTGTCATAGTAAAATAGCTCTGGCCTTTCATGAATGGAACCCTGACTAATTAGCTCATTTGGCTTTTGGCTAATGAATTTTCTGTTAATTCATTCATGGGCAATCTAGGTTGGCCACCCTGGGCTTGAATCTTGCTGTGACTTGCTCACTGTACATGACCTTAAACAAGCTAGTTAACCTCCTGGGCCTTCTGGGAATATAGAGAGAATATTAGGTAACTGAGTGAGCTAATACTTATAAAACACTTAGAACAGTGCCTGGAATGTGGGCTCCATCTAGGACAGAGGCCAGGCTCTTAACCACTGTATCATACTCCCTTTAATAAATGTACGTGAGAAGAAGGGGAAAAATGGCTCACTGTGTCAGTTACACATGAATTTCATTTGTACGGTCTACTACTACAAGATTAAAGGAATATTATTACCTGTAATTCTAAGATACAGTTTTTTCCCTTTCAATTTCAAGATATGGAATGTGACAAGGACTGTTAATAAACTTTAATGGTTAAAAAGTCAAGATTTTTGTTTTTGTTTCTTGTTGGATGCTTTTGTGGCTCATGCTTGTAATCCTGCTCAGAAAACTGAGATCTGGAAGCTGCAAGTTTGAGGTTAGCCTGGGCAGAAAAATCTATGAGACTCCATCTCTAAAATAATTGGCAAAAAACTGGGCTGGACATGTGGTTTAAGTGGTAGAATATCAGCCAAGCCAAGTTCAACTCCGTACTGCCTCCCCCCACCCCCAAGATAGTATTTTTTCCCTCCAGTTTTTCATGCAGTCTCTTCAAATAACAAAGGTTCTGGGGATGGCACAAAGAGACTTGTACATGTAAGAGAAGTGCTCCCCATTGAGCCATATCCCCAATCTGCCATTTGGCCACCATTCTGGAGACCAGAGTGATTTAAAAAAAAATTCCTACGACACTTATCCTGCTCATATACTCAAGAACCGACCAGTGGGGCACTGAAGTTCTAAAGGGCCAAACACACAGATGGTATTTGAATACAGTTGGTTACAAGTGGCATGTGTAGGTCCCTGAAAGGTAGATTGGTGGGTCTGCAGCACCCAGTGTTCAGGGAGTTGTAGAAATCTCACTGGCCCTTTACTATGTGTTCCAGCCGTGCCCTTCTTGCTCCTCTTGAAGATGGAGAAGATGCTCGTGAGCTGCTTGCTGCTGCTCCTTGGACAACTGCCCTTCTTCCTCCCCACTGCAGCCAGAGAACGGTCCCACAGCAGGTCTCTCTCCAGAGGCAGACACACTCGGACCCACCCCCAGACAGCACTCCTTGGTGAGTGACGGGAGCTCTGCAGAAGCAGGTAGCCCAGGTGGGAGTTAGTAGGGGAGGATCATGGACCAAAGATGGAGCTCTCCTGTCTCCAGGTCATGTGCTGAATGTGTTGTGGGCCAGAAGACCTTGCCGATGGGGAAAGTTGGTGCTATGCTATATAATTGGATTATTTTCAAATATAAATTTAATCCTTTCTATGTTAAAGTCTTCCATTTAACCTAAGATTCATGACTCTTCTCCAATACACAGAGTGAGATTTTTCATTAGGAAATGACCTTGTTAGACTTATCTGGACAAGGGTATCATGAGAACATTTTTCTTAGACTTGTCCAGGTAAATCTATTAATAATGGCCTCGCACACATGGCAGGAGGAGAAAGTTGGAAGCTGGAAGGGATCTTGTCATTGAGTTCAGACAAGATGGAAAGCACCAGGGCTCTATCATTCCCACCAAGGGGACATGTTTTTCTTCAGGAGAAAGAAAATGTCGTGAAACACATAGAACACAGATCAATTGGCCATCCTCAGACTTGGCACTGCCAGCTCTATGTGTAGAGAGAATAGGCAGTTGGGCCAAAGGCAAGAGAACTTGCTTTGCATGGCTTCAAGTCCTGCCTCTGTTACTTACCAAGTGTGTGCACCTTGACCGTGTAACCTCTCTTTAAGTCAGGCTTGTCTTCTGTAAATCAGAAATGGGGAAATGTGAACACCAACCTGGAACACTTTCGTTTTGTGTGTGTGCTAGTCCTGGGGCTTGGACTCTGGGCCTGGCTGCTGTCTCTGAGCCTCTTTTGCTCAAGGCTAGCCCTCTACCACATGAGCCACAGCACCACATGCAGCTTAAGATAAGGGTCTCGCTGACTTTCCTACCTGGGCTGGCTTCAAACAGCGATCCTCAGATCTCTGCCTCCTAAGTAGCTAAGATTACAGGTGTGAGCTACGGGCGCCGGGCTAGATTTTTTATTTTCTGTTCAAGGCTAGTGCTCTACTACTTGAGCTGCAGCTTCACTTCTAGCTTTTTGGTGATTAATTGGAGTTAAAAATTTCATGGAATTTTTGCCTGGACTGGTTTTGAAGTACAATCTTCAGATCGCAGCCTCCTGAGTAGCAAGGATTATAGGTGTGAGTCACCAGCACCCAGCTGGAATACTTTCATGGGGAATAAAGCAGTACCTGTGACTTCTTACCATGTGATACATGATAGTTTTTTGCACAATTTTCTGTTCATGTAAAGCTTTAAAACTGTACTTTATAAGTCCAGCTTGTTGGGCTAATGTGAGACTCTGACCCATCTGAAATCATGATCAGGGACACAAGGGATTGAAAGAGCTCTGCTTTGCAAGGTCACAGTTTTTACCAGTTGACTAAATGATGACTCCAATCACACTGAACCTGCTGTGACTTTGGTCTCCTGGGAGACCCTCTTCTATAAGCGGGTAGCCAGAAAACTTCTGCCTGTGTTGAAAAGATGAAGAACAATTTCAAGGTGATAGCATTACCTATATTTAATATGTAAAAACCACTGGAAAGACACAATGATTCCTAAATCACCAGCAGTCCTTGTATAATTGGATTTGTATTTATTTTCCTGATGCTGAGAGTCAAATCCAGAGCCTTGTGTAGGCTCAGTAAGCACCCTACCACTCATCTCCTACCCCACCCCCCACAGTTGGGTTTTTGGTGGGGTTGGGCTCAGAAAGAGTACTCTTCTGTGAGATGCTCCCAAGAATGGAGGAGCATATTCTCCAGCCCAAATCCCTTCTAGGCGATGGTGCTGGCAGGTGGCAGGTGGAGTGAGCGCACAAGGCCATGCCGTGCCTAGAGCGCATGCGTTTATTTCTCTCTAGACCTTCTTTATCAGCGGCACACATTCCCTTCCCTACTCCTCCCTTTCCCTGCTCAAGATAACACGAATGAGAAGAAACTAGAAGGCACATTGCCCCATCCTGCCTGCTTCATTTGTGCACATTTGTTCTTTGTTGCATCACTGTCCAATGAGGGAAGAGGGGGTGGACCTGTTGCTAAGGCAACCAGTGGGGGCATATCTGCCTTTTTGGAAACCTTAATCATCCTTGTCCAAACACTCACTGTATCTTGACTCCCCTCATTCCTGAGAGAACACATTCTAGCTTTCTGCCCTCTTGCTCTCCTGGTTTTCTCTGTTCTAACTTCTGTTGACATAGATATTCTTTGTTGAATCTACTAGTCTTGTTCATTTAAAAGTCTATTATCTATCCTTGAGACCTTTGCCTTTGCCTAAAATAGATTCCTCTTTGAATGACCCACCCAGAATTCGTGTTTTGTTTGATGAGAACAATTTGTTGGAATATGGCAGTAGATCCAAGAAGTGAGTGGGAGAAGGGAAGCTGGTCCCTTAGTCTGGTCAAGGAATGACAAGGAGCTACATCACCCTGTCCTGCGAGATGGGGACAGATGCTGCCTGAAAGAAGTCCAGAAGTGTCTGGCGGCGGTGGCTTACACAAGAGTCCCAGCTACTCAGGAGGATGAGATCTGAGGACCTCAGTTCAAAGCCAGTCTGGGCAGGAAAGTCTGTGAGACTTTTATCTCCAATTAAGCATTAGAAAACTGGAAGTGGAGCTGTGACCGAAAGTGGTAGAGTGCTAGCCTTGAGCAAAAAGAGCTCAAGGACAACACCCAAGGCCCTGAGTTCAAACCCCACAACTCACACACACACACACACACACACACACACACACACACACACACACACACACACACACACAAGAATTCCAGCTGCTCCTATTAATGTGTTTTGGGGATGAAATTCCATCCTCAGCCCTGAAGCTCCTACCCCTCCCATGCTGATTTCAGTCTGTTGGCTTGTTGGCCAAGACTTTTTGTTCAAACCATGAAATCCCATCTGTATTTGGAAGTGCTGTTGCTGCCACACAGGTCCTGCTGACCTTGAGCCCTGGTTCTGGTCCTGCCTACAGTTCAGTGTGCATTGAACATCTGTGTGGATGCAGCGTATGAGTGACTGTTTCTTTATGATTCAGGCCATCCATCCTTCAGCCTTTTTTCAGTGTGGGGGGCATTCTAGGGTTTGAACTCAGGGCCACACTCATTCCTTTTTACTTCATTGATTTGGGATAGGGTCTTACTATCTTCCCCTAAACTAGATGGGAACTGAAGTTTCCCCAATCTCCACTTCTCAGTGGATTCAATGTCTTTGTAGAAACAGACCTGAGAGTTGGTTTATTCATCTGTAAAAAGAAGAGGTTGAAATCAGTGACCTCCTCAATGAGGACACATGATGTCACTAAACCCTCTGCCTTACCACATCCCTTCTGTGTGGATGCCTGAGGGAGTCTTCCACTTGCTGTCACTCTCTCCAGGTAGTACTGCATTCTAACGGCCAAGGATCAAAAGGTTTGGGGACAGAAGAGATGGAGCAGAAGGACCAGGCAGTGGACCTGTAGTTCTCAAATTCACTGTGCATCAGAACCTTCTGGAAGGCTTGTTGGAAACCAAGTTTTAGGCCCCATGCCCAGAGAGTGCACGTCAGTAGGTCTGGGTCAGGACTTGAGAAGCAGCTCTTCTGGAGACCTCAGTTTGAGAACCACTACAGAAATCTACAAGGTGGGGTGGAAATGGGCAGGAGGAAAAGGTCTTAGGAGGAGATGCAGTAGGCGTTTGAGCCAGGGAGACAATTTGAGATGAGTAACATCTGCAGGGAAAAATGCAGCTGAAGAATGAACCAAATTCAGACTGGGTCCACCCTTCTGAAGCTTTGAAAATAAGCTGCTAGTATTTTCCTACCCAGGGGGGTTTGGCAGAGGAAGACCCCAAGTCTTGATGGGGAGCCAGCCTCTTAACAGCTCAATAATCAAGCAACTGGTATGTGTCTTTATCATCAGAACTGCTTTAAAACAATCAGGTTGATGTGTGGGAGAGGCTTGGAACTTGAACTCAGGGTCTGGGTACTGTTCCTGAGCTCTTTTTGCTCAAGGCAAGTGCTCTACTATTTGAGCCCACAGCTCCATTCCAACCTTTCTGGCAGTTAATTGGAGATGATAGTTTCACAGACTTTCCTGCCTGGGCTGGCTTTGAACCTCGATCCTCGGATCTCAGCTTCCTGAGTAGCTAGGATTATAGTCGTGAGCCAACAGCACCTGATCTTATCATATTATTTTAAGTAGAGCAGAGACTTTTGAAACAACCCCCTTCTCATCCTCCTCTCCTGCTTCCTTTAATCACCCACTGTTGTGTGTCCTCTGAGCAGATTGCAGTCAGCAATGTGGACTTGTGCAGCAACGAACCATCATGGCTGTGGCTCAATATGGACATGCCGTTCCCATGAAATGCGTTTTCCCCTTGTCTGTGCTGTCTTAATGTACAAACCCACCTCTCTATTATCATTAATTTTTTATAAACTGCATGAAATGAAATTCTTCATTCCTATCTTGTGATGAATGCTTGGAGAACCCAGAAAAGTACAGTCTCTGATTTCCAATAAGCCACAAATGTAAAAGCTTGCCTAACCAATGAATAAATAACATGATTTCTTGTTTTTCCCTCTTACAGACTCACCCCTTCTTGTTCCTTTCTCTTCTCTATTAAACTCCTCTTGTGACCCCCTTCCTTTTCTTCAGCCTTCCTTTAGCTTTTCCTCTTAAAGTACTCCCTTTCTTATGACCTTCCTGTTCCAAATGTTCTGGCCTCCGCACATGCAGGATGTGTGTGTTTGTGTGTGTGTGTGTGTAAGGGAAAGGGGGGGGTGTTGTTTCTCAGTAGGTGACATAGCCACTGTTCTTTTCTTCTTCCATACTGGGTGTTTCTGTCTTCCTAACTGATGACAGTGATAATAATATTAATGGCTGACATTTTTTTGTGTGCATGTTTTTTGTTTTCTTTTTCATTTCTTGTTTTTGCATCTACTATTTGCCTGGCACTGTTCTAAGACCATTTATACTTCATTCTGCATAATTACTGTCTCAGAAGAAGCAACTGAGATGTACTAAATGTCTCATTCAAGGTCAT